ATTTTCGTGAAGTGATCCCAAATGTCAAATGTAAATTCCCGCTCCGCCTCCTTTGTTGTAGATATTTCGGCAGGAGGATGAAGACTTTCTTGCGTCGAGACGCGCTCCACATCGGGAAAAATGTTGATTTCATCATCTTCAAAATCTGCATAATCACGAGAATCAAAAGAATAATGGGATTCCGTCATGATATTCTTACCTTTGCCAGTTGGCACTCGACTTCCACTTGCCATTTTTCTAGTGGATTGAGAGAATTGAGCGGATTGATTGAGAGAATTAAGAGAGAATTGCGCAGATTGAGAAAATTGAGAGAATTTAAGAGAATTTGAGAGAATTTAGAGTATTGAGAAAATTCGAGAGAAGAGAATTTGAGAGAATTTGAGAGAATTGAGAGTATTGAGAGAATATGAGAGAATTTTAGAGAATTTATAAGAAAAAAAATGAGAAGAAAATTTAGGATAAAAAAAAAAAGCTAGAGAACCGTTGCAATTTGCAACGGTTATCTTTTTAAATTTTTTTAAAATTTTAATTTTAATTTTTTATTTTTGCGGCTTTTGCAGGCTGCCCTGACAACGGGCCGCAGCAGGGCCTGCAGACGTGCAGGCCCTGCTGCAGGGTTTTTTTTAATTTAAATTTTTTTTTGGAACCGGGCCCGGAACCGGCGGTTCCGGGCCGGTTCCAAAATTTCTGGAATCGGAACCGGGCCCGTAGGCCACGGGCTGGTTCCGAACCGCGGGCCCGGTCAACGGGCCGAGCCCGGGTTTGACCAGGCCGGTTCCGGGCCGAAACCGGCCCGTGGCCATGACTACTTATACGGATTTGGAAGGTGTTCAACTCAAGTTGGAGTTACAACTAGAAACTTTTAAGGTAGTGGATACTTGTGCAGTAACAAACATAGACAATACTTATGGTGAGGTGAAGCATGCAGAACCAACATTTGATATATCTATCGAGTCTGATAACGTGTGTGTTCGATCTTCTAACATATATGGATGTGACCATGGTTTTGCTTTATTGTGATTGAGGAGTTTGTGCCAGACTCCTTGTGGAGCAATTAAATGTGCATGTAAGTTCAAATGAGACTTGGACTTGAGAGACATTTGTGGTGGTTAAGGACTTTCTGAGAGGATGTGAGAAAAGAGTAGGGAAAATTAAGATTACAATGAATCGGTTATGACTTGACTTAAATATCAAGTTAAGATGGATATTCTTGATAATATATCTCGAATTTGAGTCTTGTGAATGAAATTTGGTCGGATTAAATTGTGTATAAGTAGGACCCATATGGCATTGAAAATAAAATGTTGAATCCTTAATCAGGAAAGTCCTTGTTGGACCTGGACATGTGGCCGACTTGATAAGGCCGCTCGTGTTGTCCATGGAATTTCCTTTTCCATGTTGAAGTCGGCCATGCTACTCCATGTTTCTTTGAGTTTATGTAGTTCGTCGAAATTTTGTCGGTTGGATCTTTTGATTTGCAGTGGCCGCAGCCATACATGCAAAAGTGCTACATGCTTTCGTGAATTACATCCGAGCATGAATCCAATGGTGTTTGATGTTTTTAGGGTTGATCCAAGTTTAGCGCGAATAAAAAAATCCCATGAAGGAGTGATATAAAAGTTGATAGGATTTCTTTTGTCCATAACATAAAAGCTATTTTTTAGAAAATCCTACGCATTCTCTTCCTTCTCCTTCGTTAACAATGAAGCTTCTCGCGCGACTTCTCTATAACTCGTTCATATCGAAGTTTCTCGAAAACGATGACGGAGTCGAAGCTCTTCTCCTTCATAGCTCTCTGATTAATGAAAGCGGCGAGAGTTGAAGCACCTTCTTCTTTGTAGCTCTCCATTTCACATCAAAGCTTTACGGAAGCGGCGAGAAAGTTTTTTTGATTCGTAAAGGTAAATAATCATACTCTCTCTCTCACACTAGATCTGGTATTCTCTGGCTACAATCTCGTCGATGTCACTATAGCATGTTTATGTTTTTTATCATAGTCAATTCATCTTTAAAGCAAGTACAATTGCATAGTCAAATATTTGCTAATTCTGTAGGTTGCGTTGACTAGTTTGTCTTATTTAATTCAACTTCAATTGGTGGCTTCAAATTTCGCATCTCAGGAACTCCTTCCATAAACGTCCCACTCAATAGAACAGGGTATGGAAAGGAGTTATCATTCTGTTCAAAAGTGACCATTATTACGATGAAAAATCAAGTGTATGCTACGTGACAATTTTGCTAGTGCTGCTGCCTTTATATATAAGAAATTCTCCTTGAATTAGGATGCTTCTAAGTGGTACGATAAAGCTAATCCTATCAACTTGGGATATCAAAGGATTTAAATTGATATAACATCCAAGACAGCAAGGTCTAATCTCCTCTCTTGACGAGAACACTATATATTTTTCTTTTTATTTTCTCTATATACTATTCACATTTCCCTTTTGATTTCGATGCTTATTACCTTGTTTATCTAATTTTTCTTTCCCCTTGCAATTACCCTGTCTTCCATTCCTCGTAGAATAAAGGGTGATTTTGCAAAATCATTACTTATGATTTAACTTTTTATTAATCACTTGCCGCTTGAGATACGATCCATACTTAAGGTTTAGTCCATTAAATTGTTGAGGGAGTTGGCAACGGGAGTTCGTTTCCTCTGTATTGAGAAAGGCTAGAAAGAGTCATCAATAATAATGAATCAACTTGAGAAAAGTGTCAAAAAAGTCCTAAACCTTTTGCATTTGTGCCAATTTAGTCCTAAATCTTTTTTTTGTGTCAATTTAGTCCTAAACCTTTTGCATTGGTGCCAATTTAATCCTATACCTTTTTTTGTGCCAATTCAGTTCTAAACCTTTTGTATTTGTGCCAATTCAGTTCTAAACCATTTTTATTGATGCCAATTCAGTTCTAAACCTTTTTTTTTGTGCCAATTCAATCCTAAACCTTTTACATTAGTGCCAATTCAGTCGTTCCGGCGAATAGCTATTAGCCAGAACGACTGAATTGGCACCAATGCAAAAGGTTTACGACTGAATTAGCACCAAAAAAAGGTTTAGGAATCAATTGGCACCAATGCAAAAGGTTTAGGACTGAATTGATACCAAAAAAAGGTTTAGGACTAAATTGGCACAAATGCAAAAGGTATATGACTTTTTTGACACTTTTCCCAATCAACTTTGGTTCGTTTCTTTTGCGTTCGTGTATTTTTTGCAATAATCATGGATTGATTCGGAGAGATTCTGTGAGAATCTGTTGATTTGAAAAAGACATTGTTTTAGATGATTATGCTATTACCTAACATGCTAGTTTGTACTTGTCTAATGTTATTATTTTTTGTCCTCATTAGAAATTAATCACGATAATAGAGAAGAAATTTTTAGCATTTTGATATTAGAGGAGATAAACCTACATATTTGTTTACTGTGTATATAGTTGTGGTGTCCACTACTTTTGAAAGGCACTACCATAAGCATACATTGAAGGATTGCAAATTTGTTAGAAGCCAAGCTCGTTTAGATCTCCTTGACCGACTTATTAACATCAATGACTTGAATTGTGCGGAATAACTTAGGATGGATAAACATACATTTACTCTACTATGTGAGATAGCACGTAGAATTGGTGGGTTAAAAGAAGATAAGACTTGTCACTATAGAAGAACAAGTGGCAATGTTCCTACATAGACTTGCCCATCATGTGAAAAATCATGTCATCGAGTTCAAATTTATGAGGTACGCGGAGACAATAAGCAAGTATTTTAACTTAGTTTTAAGTGCGGTATACCTGTAATAAATTTACCTAAAACTAATATTTTAAACACCAAAAACCCTAAACTGATATACCTGTGACAAATTTACCCTTAATTTGTTTCTGTTAAATTTTACTGTCAAATTACTTATTTATTTCTGTTAAATTTTATTGTCAAATTGCTTTGTTAAATGACACGCGGCAGTTGACTGATGTATTAGTTTTATGTTTTATCCTCCATTTGTCACATGTGTACCAGTTTATGATTTTTTGTGGTATTAATCCAATTTGACGGAAACTAACGGAGGGTAAATTTGTCATAAATGTATCAGTTTGGGGTTCTTAGTGGTCAAAATATTAGTTTGGAGTAAATTTGTCACGGGTTTACCAGTTTGGGATTTTTGGTGGTCAAAATATTAATTTGGGGTGAAATTATTATAAGTGTACAAATTTAGGATTTTTCGTGATATTAATCTTTATATAAAAGGGATGGCGGAGCTTTGCCCCGCCACCGGCTTCGTCACCTGCTTCTCATTATCTCACCTTTAATTTATTCGTGTTTTGGAAAATGTACGCAATTCAACGAGAGTGTCTTTTTAACTTATTTATATAGTTTGTTTGCAACTCTTTTTGTATTTTCACTTAGGTAAATTCCTTCTTTAATGTAATTTCATATTCAATATAAAGTCGGCAATTTCACCTTTCAAAAAAATTGACTCATCCAATTTGTAGGCGCTCCGCCGCGTGCCCCCTCCGCCAAAAGAGGACATAAGGAAAGCATCCTATATTAAGAGATGTTAACAGTTCGGTTCGAAGTTTTTGAAAATCCTAACCGAGCTGTTAGGGTGTACGCTTGAATCGAACCGAATCAAATCTCGGGCCGAACCAAATTAGGATTGGATCGGTTTGAAATTCGGATGAGAAAACCGGATATTAGAATTCCTCATGGCGATTTTAAGAGGGACGAAAAAGAACATTCAGCTTTTGTTGAGAATTTCAGTTCAATTCGGATCGGTTCGAACCGAAAGACAAAGAACAGTTATTTTTTCACTATCCAAACCGAAACCCGGACCTAACCGGAAATGGACGAAATTTTGGTTCGGTGCCGGTTTCGATTTGGTTTTTAACACCCCTAGGCTGTATCCAAGACGAAGAAATGCCCCTGGAAAACTGCTTAATTTACAATATTGCCCCTGGAGAGCATCTCCTCCATTTGTGAAGAGAATCCCTTCAATTTCACGGGACCTCTCCGTTCAGAACCGCATGTTTTTGGTCCCGAACTTCTCTGGCGGAGAAGCTGCTACGATGCCGGAAGAGACCCTCGAACGCCGGGGCTCCGCCGCCGCCGCCCCTCTCGTCTTCTCCGTCGTCATGGCCTTCCACTTCCTCTCGTGGTGGTTCGACCGCCTGAAGAAGGTAAGAAAAGTCGCCTCGTCCGGTGTTGCGCGGATCCTCCGTGTTGGAACCACCACTCGTGTCTTGGATTCGAGCCCTCCCATCTGAGGCGATGGAAGAATTTGAGCCGAGTTGCTATGATGGAAAGTGGGTCGATGGATTTTGATCGAAGTGTTTTGTTTTCAGGGGGGATCGATGAGTGCGGTGGAGATCCAGCTGCGCGAAGAGATTAGGGAGCTCTTGAAAGAGGCGAGCTCGTTGTCGCAGTGAGTGATTCGCATTGTTCGGTTTTTATTTTTTTGCCGGTTTTTCCTGGTAGCGATCGGTGCGATGCGGGTTTTCTTTTGCTTCTGGTGGCGCGTGTATTGGAAAGCTGCAATCTTTCTTTCTCGAATTGCTTTTTCCCTTGCTCGGTCGATCGATTCTCTTCATAAAGGGAAGTGAAACTTGTAATTGTTTCGAGATGTTTATCCAATCCTGCATAGTCCCATTTGGAAGAACATATGTGGGTCACGCCCCTTTTTCGTTTTATTTTTTTGTTCTTTTCAGATTGGTAGGTGCATATTTGTGATTGGTGCCTTCTGGGTTGTCAGAGAAATAGCTTCGATGCTTGTGGGCCATAGCACCAACATGTTTTAGCTTCCTTGGATGGAGATTTTCAATCTAGAAAGGGAAGTATAGGACTTCCATCATATGTTCGTGGCTCTTTAAGAGTGTGATCTCTTTCCGATGATTGTTCCCGTTTCGCTTATGCTTGTATTATGGATACTTTTCTGTGTGAAAGTTGTCGACTTTCCTTTGGTTAACCTTTTTCTTGGGGACATTGGATGCCATGCGTAGTTGTGTTATATTTAGCATGTAATTCTGCTGCATATCATATTAAAATGACATGAATTATTGCTGGTTACAGGCCATCAACTTTTGCACAAGCTGCAAAACTTAGGAGATCGGCAGCTGCTAAGGAGAAGGAACTGGCAAAAAGTATGTTATATATTGTGAGACTTAATGTGACATTGTTCTGGTTGAATGTTGGTTTCTCGAGGACTACCAGATTTTCTATTCATCAAGCAGTCTAAGCTTTTCTTACATTTTTGTTTTTTTAAATTTTGGTTGCATCTTGAGGTAGTATATATCTAGAGTGAGGTGGATACGTTCCCTTATCTTTCTCCTTCGCGCAAATGATCCCTGCCTCTATTGTATAGTTGCATCGCAATAGAGTGATATAGTTACTTCTTGTTTTGCTTTTAGTGTTAAGTTTATCTGCTTGATCGTCATGGTGTTTGGCTGGTTGCACATGGGTCCTTTTTTGGGAGATTTAAATGAATAAACTTTCAGTGTTTTTGGAAGACTTGAGGTTTTGGTGGGGTGTCTTTTTGGCTTTTTTGACTATTGAAGAATGCTTATTATCTAGTTCTAGAAGCTTGGCCAGAATCAAGAAATCTGAGGTCACTCTGCTTTGTAGACAAGGCTCATTCTGTACTTGACTTACTAGCTCATGTAGTACTTCCCCTTCTTGCTCTCTGTCCTTTCCTCAAGAAATGTCATATTATGTGGTTCTAAATGATGTTTAACTTAGCATTGCATTAAGTTCTGGCACTTTTAATGCTCTAGTGTACATTGGGTGAATTATTCCTCGGAATCAAAACTGGTGATGTTTGGACTAGATTGTCCTCTGTAATACAATTGCCTTTCGGGAGGTTAATTCTGATCTTATTCCTTAGAGATCGTTTGGGCAGCTTCTTCGGATTTCAATTCTTGATCTCTAGAAATATTGTTTTATTTTTTGCTTTATACTGTGAAGTGTATTCATAAATTCTTATGACTTACAGTTCAAGAATCATGCAGCAGAGAGATGAAGTACTCCTATGATTTGTATTTGAGAGTGCTGTTTTTTACAAAGGTGGTTCAAGATTTATAGCATCATTCAGAATAATTGTCCTACTGTTTTGTAATCGATGTTAATATATGTGGTTGTCTTCTGTAGGTGTTTACGTATTTTGTGCTGATTTGCTGGTTTTGGAAGGCTCCTATTGCTATGATATCTCAGCAGCTTGTTCAACCATTTGGTAATTTTTTGTTGTAACCTGAAAAATGTGAAAGCTTCATAGTGCATTTCCATTTGCTGCTTTTACTTGAATGCCCTTATATCTGTCTCAGACCATGACCAGATATTTTCTCAAAGATGCATAGTTGTAAATTTTTGTTTTTTAACTCAGTGCTGACTACCTTTCAATCAATATTTGCTTCTATTTCAGGAAGACTATTATCATGGGGAGCTGGAAGCCATTTAGGTGGCAATGTTATGGTATGCCCAATTTTATTTAGTATCTCCTAGCACGCTTTTCATACTATACTCCTTACAGATCATGTACCAAAAACCAGAAGAAGGGTTCTTTGATTTTTTGGGCTAAAGACAGTGCTGATGTTACCTGGCTACGGGTTCCCCCAGTAGCAGGTGGACTGTACTTGTACATGCTTGCATGGTCCTTACTTCGCTTCTGTGATTTTTTTGGAAGGTAGAAGAAATATGATATGTTTACAAGCATACGTATTGCTTGCTGCTCAAGATAAGATGCGCATTCTTTATGCTGTCCTTTTTAGAAGTTGGTTCTGTTAATGCTGGTTAAGCAGATAATAAATAAAAGTGGCATTGAACATGCTGATGCAAAAGTAAAAAGAGGAATGAGTGGTTTACAATTGGTGGTTTTTTGTAGAACAGCTGGCGGTGCTCACAAGCCAATTGATTGGAAATGTTGATTATTTTGAACTTTATTTCATGTAATTTCAGGTTGGGATCATACCCTGGTTGATACTTTCTACAAGGGTCAGCAGATTCGTAGTTAAACACTTCAAATGATAAATAGGCAATATCTATCTGCATATATCGCTGATTGAGGATCCAATTCAGTCATCGTTTCCGCAATGTGGGCGGGAGAGAGGAGGTCAAATTTGTGCAGATCCTTTTATATCGGTGCATCATTTTGCCTCACATTTTTGTCTCTTTCCTTTTACAAATTATGTCTAATTCAGTTTTGGCGTTGACCGTGTAAATTAGCCTCTTTAGAAGTTCAATTTCTTGCGTCACCTGAAGTTTGGTAGAAGTGAATCCACTTGTATTGTTAGTGTTGTATGTTGTCATATATGCTCAATTCTTTCCCTTCATGCGTTATTGTAGGAACCTGCCAATATCTTATTTTTATATGGGGTGAAGAACACTAGAAGTGCCAAAACTTATGTACGGCGCTCACTTTAGTGCCAAAAGTTTGTTTCGGATCACTTAAGTGTCACTTTTTTGAAAAAACGATTACTTAAGTGCCAACTTCGATTTGGGTCGCCGGAAATCTGACGTGGCCATATTTTATAAATTTCTCAGTCCTACGTGGCACGTCGGCGCTGACGAGGACAATATTTAATAATATTTTAAAAAAAATTATTGATTTTTTTCTTTTTTTTCTTTTCTTTCTTCTTCTTCTTCGTTTGGCCAGTGGTCGGTGTCCGGTCACCGGCCATGGCCGGCCGCCTGGCCTCGCCGGCGGTCGCCTTCCCCGGCGACCCTCGGCGAGACCGCCGTGGCTCGGGCGAGGGCCGGCCTCGCGCAGATCCGGCGGGGCCGGCCACGGCGGCCTCGCCGGGGTCGCCTTCCCTCGGGCGACCCCCGGTGAGGCCGGGCGGCCGGCCATGGCCGGTGGCCGGTGTTCGCTCATCGGCCAAATGAAGAAGAAGAAGAAGAAAAAAACAAAAAAAATCAAGAAATAATTAAAAATTCGAAATTTGCACGTGGAAATGTCACGTAGGACTGAGAAATTCGAAATATACACGTGGAAATGCCACGTAGATTAAAATTTTAATTAAAAAAGTCACGTATTAATTTGGTCGGAATTTGTCGTCGTTGGTACTTAAGTGATCGTTTTTCTCCAATTTTGGCACTTAAGTGATCCGAAACAAACTTTTAGCACTAAAGTGAGCACCGTACACAAGTTTTGGCACTTCTAGTGTTGTTCTCCCTTTTTATATGTATGACCGAAGGTATTTGTCTGACAAGACAAACTAGGATGTACAAACAGTATAAGCAGATAACCCCCTTTCTTTGGAACTTTTATCAAAGCAACAAGTCAGTTTTTGCTTTTCTGTCATTTAAATTATTGTTTAAATTTGGCTAACTATAAACAAAATATGTGGATACGCATATATCAATATAAGTATATTTTGAAAAGTTCTAGATATTTCATGGAAATAAAATTTAAAGTATGGGGATCGTAAGATTGGAAAATCAAAATATAATAGTCATTCAAATTGATTCAGCAAAAGAAATTTCAATAGACTTATGTTATGAATCATGTGATGAATAAAGTCATTCCTGGTAGGAGTTATGTTCGTCGATTTTTCGATGATAAGATCAATCTAGATAATTATTCGGCAAGTTCGATCGAATGCATGGCTGTTGGAGGTACTTGGCATGAGCAAAACTAGAATCTAAAATTTTAGATACTCCCTAAAGTCAATGGAATTGGTTAAGTTTCTTCTATGGGTATATTAGAATCAAGTTTTGGTTTCACAATTCCAAAATCTCATAAGCAGCACACGGTAAAGATGTGGCAAATGATGTTAGTACTCGCCATGTTCTTTGGATCATGTAACCTGCAGAAGGGCTTTAATGATGCCAAAGGATAGGAGCTCTTCATTCAATTTTGTTTCCCCAAATTTGATTCATTGATAACTTAACTAGTCAAAACCTTTTTTTCAGGCAATCTCCACGAGCAAGAAAATGAGAACATTACCACAACAATTTAGATTTTTTGTCTTTTGAACTGTCTCATGTACTTTGGATCATGTAAGCCTGTTAAGCGTTTTTTCTTTTCTACTTTTGGTTTTTGATGAGCAGAAAAAGTGGGAAGTAGACCTATTGGAGGCAAACTCACTTATCGCTAGCAAAACATTGGTCATTTTCTGACCGCCGTCCGCAACAGTTTTAGAATGAGCCATGACATCAGGTTGTGGAAAGATTTATTTACCCAGCAGGAGTCCATGCATGTATAATGTGGATTTCGAGATATATCGGAATCACGACATTTTCACCCTATCTCTAATACCAATGCAGGTAGCCCCGTCCAAGAGCTCTAGTGGCACGATATTGTCTATCCCACCTGCGCTAGTTAGTTTTAAGGGTAAATCCTACCAAAAATCGCAAACTATGTTCACCGTGACACATTTACTCGAAATTTTTTTATGTGACACCAAAAACCTCAAATCTGTATCCATGTAACACATTTATCCTAAAGATTTTTTTTTGCAACATAAAAAAACCTCACACTTTGGATTCATGTGATGCATTTACCCTACATGGTTTTTTTTTATAACACCAAAAATCTCAAATTAAGACATGCGCTACACATTTACCCTCCTCTGTCAAGATTTTTTTTCCTTTTTCTCTTTTTTTTTTCGTTCCTCCTTCATCTTGACCGCTGCCCTCGCTGCCCTTACCATTGCCATTGCCACCGTCCTCATCATTGCCAAACCAAGGAAAAAAATGTCGGAGGCAGTTAAAAAAAAAGGAAAAAGAAAACAAGGAAACAAAATAGACAATGAGTTGACATATCTTTGCAACGGGAGCACAGCGTTAGCACTGTTTACTTTCCGTCGTTCGTGTAGGCAACCGTAAAGTTTTTTTAGCAATATTTGTTAACGGAATTTTGACGGAGGGTAAATGTGTTGTACAGGCACAAGTTTAGAGTGAATGTGCCACAGAGGTACATATTTGGGGTTGTTGGTATCACAGAAAAAATTTTGGGATAAATGTGTCACACGGGTATAAGTTTGAGATATATGGGGTCACAGAAAAAAGTTCAGGGTAAATGTGTCGCAGAAAGCATAATTTGCAGATTTTTTTGTGGCTTTTTTCCTAATTCATAATGCATCGTGTTAATTTGAAGCTATACAAGAATTTTCTAGCAGTACAATAGCCCGAATGTAGTCGATGCACGACCAAAAGCATATCTAACACCAAGCAGTACTTTTGAGTGAAAAAACAGAAGCCCGGCATTGTTCTTTGTTAAACAGTGGGGATTCTTGTTAAAAGGGAAGAAAAACAGAAGAGTAAGATGTCAAGATACAGATAATACAAACCTTGTTCAACGAAGAAGAAACTTCATTAACGAAGTTATGATAAAACCCTGTCAAAAGTTAAACATGATCAACTTGTGAAAGACAAGCTGCGCCTGGAGAAGCAAACAGAATGGAGATTCTTGTGGTTCCTGTCTACCAACTTCATTTGTTTCAACCAGCATGGCCTGTACGCAGAAGCCATATATAATTGATCCAACAAGACTGAATACTCAAATGTTATAAAATATGTTAATCATATTCGAACGGCTCATTTCCTTGGCTAATATTTGCTTCCAGTTCATGCGCTAAAAACTACATGGAGTAGTTAATATACATGTGTATATATTCAAAAGCACGCAAGAAAAGTATAATTGTTGGATCATACACTAGTACAAGTGAAGAGTTCATCTTGACCAGATCTTTTTCTTGTTGTCTTTTTCTTTTGGACCTTGAACTTGGTCTCTGCTAAATCTCCTGCTAGTACTGGTAAAGGGTCCTTGGGCATTTGTGGCCAGCTTCACTGGTCTTGTTACCTTGGCGACTTTAGGCGGGTCAGATTTTCTACCTCTCTTGTCACTTGAAGCGTTTGGTAGAAAGTTCTCGGTCTCTCCACTTCTAGAGTTCCTTTTCCTAGTTCGGTCATAAAGAGATTCGTACCCACCAGAGAAAACAGAACCCTGACTAACTGGGCGATTCACTGAATTCGTACTTCTTAGGATACGAGCCTCAATTTCACCCAAATTTCCATCATTCAAGCCAGTTTTCCCAATTATTGGTGTTGCCCTTATCCCATCAGCATAATCCTGAGTCAGCTTACCCTGCATTTCTTGCTCCTTTTGCCTCAGCTTCTCCTCAAGCTCCTTGATCTGCATCCCCCCCACCAAAAAAGGGCCAAACAATCTGTCACTATTTATAGATTCACGTTTTTCTCGAGGGGAGACCAAAGAGTTGATCAACTTCCCTCGTAACGTTAACATGGACAGCTGATTTTGGCTTTCTAACAGTTGGTAGCAAAATAATACAACCAAATTAAACTATAATTCAACGTTAAATGGTAATTTGGGTGAAATTATTCACAATCTGTCTTTTAAGTTCAAAATCCAGATTTCAACATATAATGTTCTCTTGATGATATTTTTCACAATCTGTCTTTAGTTTAAAATTCGGTTTCAACAAATCATGTTCTCTTGATGATATGGCTGCCCAGGATATAATGAGCACTTTAAGAGATATTCACACCATCGTGGGATTGTAATGGTAAAACCCTGTCTGAGAAAGACATGCATGCCGTCTCAACTAAATGAAAAATGGACATATACAAAATATTACTCAATACCAAACTAGTATATGATATGAGGCCCCAGAACTGACTGTGAATTGAGTTTTTAATTGATTTTAACAGCAGCATGAAATCAATTATGGCACCGTTAACCAATTACCTTCTGATGGAGCACCAATGATTCTGAATTATCCTCTCGTTCTTTCAATTTTCTCTGCAGTTCTATTATCTGGAAAGAGGAGCAGAAAAAGAAAAAAAAAGATAACTAAAAGGCTGCGAGAGAGAGAAAGAGAGATTTTGCAGTTCTCAATAATACATAAACTGCAAACCTTCTCTTGGAACATAAGCGCATGATGCTCAGACTCCTGCATTTGCTCCTTCAGCTTGCTTTCAAGATTCTTGACCTGCTAAAAAGCAAAGAGGTCCTTAGATACTGTTTCAACATGACCATTTTGAATGTAGTGGTAATGAAATGTAGTTGACTTTTCCGGATTTTAGAATGTATGTCGTCAATTCATATGCTCCATATGATCACAAGTTTATGCCCAATATCTGCAAAGCTTCTCCAAATGTACAATAAGAATATATCCGAACCTTTTGTTGCAATATTGCAAATTCTGATTGTTCTCGCTCTCTAAGTTTGGTCTCAAGCTCTTTGACCTTTGCAAAGAATAAATTAATTGAAAAGTATTCAAGTTAATTGAAACGTCAAAGCAGTAAATCACTAAGTTGAAGAGCAACCTTTTGCTGGAGAACACAGAACGTTTCTTCCCTTCCCTTCAATTTATCTGATAGTTGTAGGACTTGTTTCTCCGACTGATTTTGCAAGGATGCCTTTAGCTGAAGTTGATCTTCTAGTTCTTTTATTCTCTCTTGTTGAACTTTGTACGTCTGATCTTTGCTTCTGGTCTTATTCTCTAAGCTTTGTAGGTTCTCCTCTAGCTTTCTCAGAGATTCATCTTTGGATCTGGACTCCTGCCTCGCTTTGTCAAGCTTTCAGAAAAAAATGTAATGAAAACTATGAGTTACACATTTACGAGATCTATGGTTATAGTAGGACAAGAGGGAAGGGAGTAACGTTCAATGAAGTCTTACATAACCATGGATCACTTATCGTCTGTCCTGATATTTCTAGTGAAGTGCCATGAATAATAAAAGAAATTCTAGCTAAGTTTTCAAAAGATTACCGTTGCTTTCATCTTTTGAAGCTCGTTAGGATCAATTTGCTTCTTAGCAGGACCCAGCTCAATCCCTCGAACCCGAGTCGCGAAATTCAATGAACTCAGAGTCTCCCCCGAGTCCTTATCTGATGGACTAATTTGCACAAACATCAGAGTTTTGGAGTCGCCACCTGCCATCCATGTACAACTCTCTCATCAAGAGACAGCTATTATATAAGACGAGTACACGCATAGTTTAACAATCTGAATCATCTAAAAGGAGTCTTTTTGTTTGGGGTTGGGGAGAGAGAGAGGGAGAGAGAGAGAGAGAGCAGTCAAAGTTACCTAGCGAATCTTGAAGCAAGTGTGTCAACTTGGAGTTCCTAAAACCAATCCCCAGTACTTTTAGAACCACAGATAGCATTGAATAGAGAAGTATGAAACCAATTCAAAACGAGACGAGACCTGTAAGGGATGTGACTGGATTTATTTGCCAGAGCAGATATGACATCTCCTAAAGCTGAAAGAGATTTGTTGATGTTCTGAGCTTCTTTGAGCCGTTCTCCTTGCGCGTCAGTCTTTGCCAGCCTCTCACTACCAGCCAAATCTACAAGCCAGAGCTTGCTCCTTGTGCACTCTCCACTAATCAAGTTCTTTGATCTTACCATTATGCATAGCATGCTAAAACAAGGAGGATGTCACGCAACTTTAGTTGGCGGAGAGGAAAAAAGTCACATAAATACCATGCAATGAAAATCTCAAATGACAGCTCTGTACCAGTGAGATCGACTACTATGCTCATTAACGTTATTAGATCCAACAGCCCTAGCACTGCTTCCAGTCTGCAGTACATTCCAGACTTCCTTAGTACTCTCAACTTTGGCTTCTACAATCCCAGGAACATTGTGAAAACCCTCAGATGCTTGTTTTATCTCCAATCTGGAAAGACATGTGTAAACAGTTATCATCTGATAATATATCACCCATACATATGCAAAAGGCAATTGCATGCTGAGTAGAAAGCAAAGTTCCATTTCACCCGAAAAAGAAATAACCAAAGTCTCAAAATTTAGGGTCTTTTTCACTCCAAAAGAAAGGTAAATTCTTATTCTATTTATATACTGCACATGGGAAATAGACTATACTTTTTCGAAGTTGGTGCTGTAGCCAATAAGTCTCTTATCTGCTCATTATAGACTTCAAGAACACTGACGGATATATTATAGACAAATGTGTCGCTCCTTTCCTCAGCAGTTCTGAACAGTTGCTCCAGAGTCCGGTAGTTGACTCCTCGGTTTTGTTCGGTGCCCTCCATTGTAAATGTCTTCCCTGTTCCTGTCTGCCCATAAGCAAATATGCAAACATTGTAGCCATCCAACACAGAGAGTACCAATGGTGAAGCATCCGCAAAGACATCGACTGTCATGGAGAAAATTAGTCTCATTACTTATTTATGCTCTATTGTGGTATAAGCATGATATATCATGTTGTGAAGGCAATGTACCTTGGTCATCTTTTGGTGTATAGACTTTGTCAAATTTGAAAGTCTTTCTGGTGGCACCACCTGTCAAAATGCCAAGATCTCCGTCTTTTGCAGCGTCAAAGTCCACAATGGTTGCACACCCAGCTGATACTTCCTCCTTACTTAACGGACGACAGCGACAAAACACCCTGATATTTCCTGATAATTTACCCAACTTTTAGATATATTTCTAAGAAATGTACAAAGTACAAAATGTTTCAAACACCTTTTGTCTCCTGAAGCTGGTTATAAAGTTTCCTTCTCTTTGTTTGTTCTTCACTGTACTTCATTTTGAGATCCTCACACTGTGCGACTGCAAAGTGTGTCCATAATTCAGGAGAACACATTATGTCACTGTTAATGGAAAAATAGACAGTGTTTCTCAAGCATACCTAGTGCTTGGACTCCAGAGACCATGCTGTTCAACTCGGGAATTGAATCAGCACATTCATGTGCTTCTCGAGAAAGCTGAGAGTGCTCTCTCTTCATGATCTACATAACCAACCAATTAACCAATTTAAGAATTTCCAATAAATTGACCAGTAAATGCTAACAAATTACATATTTTATAATTCAATTGACTACCTTTATTTTCTTGTCTAGGTCATGAACTGCCAAGGCCCAGAACTGCTTATCATGCGCGTACTTGCTGGATAAGTTCCTCAAATTCTCATCTTGTTTTTCAACAACTTGGTCTGATGGGAGAGTAAAACAAAGAACCATTAATGTCTCCAAGGGGCAAACAAACTATTTAAACATACGCATCAATTTAAATCAAGTGAGAAAGAAAGATTGATGTCAAAGGCTGTACGTTACCAGTTAGTTCATTATCTAGCAATGTGCTAGGTTATCTAATATAAAATATCAAGAGCATAGACATTCTTCAGATCACTCATAAAAGAAAACACAAGAATCAAGAACTGGGTGCATTGTCTTTTTCGTATTTTCCTCATAATCGAGCTCCGATAGGAACTTACCCAAACTACGCTTCTCAAATGTCCTTATGTCAAGTTCCATCTTAAACTTCTCCAACTGTTCATTTGCTGTGGTTAGTGACATCCAAGCCTGATAACATTCATCTGTTTTGCGGTTGTTCTGCACGGAAAGATCTTTAATCTGCCTCTCAAACTTGGCTGTTAACTTTGTTTGCATAATCTTCTTCTGCACGAATAACAAAATTTCTGAGAGCAGATGACACAAATTTTACATGCTTGCAATTTTAAATATTCCAAATAAATTAAGGTCTCACCTGTTCTAGAGGAATCTCTATCTCGGTACAGCAATTATTGCACTTTATACATTCACCAGTCCCTCGAGTACCTGGACGCAAATTGTAATTGTGAATAACACTATAAGGTCAATATAGTCAAAAAGGAATACAATACTGTCCAGATGGATGAAAGAATATATTACCCAACACCTCTGGCGCTTTCCTAATGCAAATCCCACTTACCAACGGGCTTCCATTAACCCCTTCAAATTTTATTGCAATTATGCCGTCCTCCTTCACAGATACCCTAAAATCAACTAGTTGCAATGCCTTATTGGCTCCAACAACTCTGAAAATGTCAAAATCGGAAAGGACCTGCAATCAAGCAAAAGCATATACTTCAAATGCATTTCTCATGAAGAAGAAATAACAAAAGAAAAGGTTAAAACAGATGTTGGGCGCTAAAGTTCTTACCTTCTCTTCCTGCATGAATACATTGAAAACCCTCATGCCCTTGGGTCCATTGGTGAATATAATTTCCACAAAATGAAGATCAACGAAATAGTCTCCAGGATGAAAACTGTCGATGCGGTAACTAAAATTTCCAAATCGTGCTGATTGATAAACAAATGGATAATCACCAGAATCGACTATGATTTCATTGGTTCTCAAAGCATCACCTCCTTCGTAGAAAGCATCATCATGAAACTTCATGAAGGAATCTACTTGATTTGAAGCCTCACCTCCGGCATTTAGAAACATCACATATTCCTCTAATCAAAGCAACATAAAACAAAATGGCCCATTAGAGACAGCAACTAAAGCATATCCAAATGAACATTTGAGTAGCATTAAATGGTAAATTATATTGGGAAATTTTAACTCAAGTACAAAGGTATTGCTAGCTAGCTATGCCTCTCTAAGTCTAGCCCAAATGTTGCAATCCCAACATGAGTGCTCTCTTCTCTCTTCCTAACTTAATCTGGTAACCATATAGAACACACAAGTTGGCATTGAACGTAGACAATTGTTAAGAACAAATAGGACTATGATGATGGACCACTCGAGATGTGCTCGGAAATCGATGCAGACCAAACTAAGGTGGTGTCAATCAGAATATATGGCACATGGAGAGAGCACATAGTATTTACGCTGAACACAATCTTTATTTTACAGGCAATGCGAGCTTCAAGTAAACTTTAACTTGTGCCACCTAAATCAAGCCATCATGTAAGATGCACAAAAGATTATTTCATGATCCTTGCTATACAATTCTATTAACTTAAGTGAGCTGTGATTATCCAACTTATTTAAGACAATCGGTATGCGGAAGTACATATGGATCAGTGATTACGCATTCCGCACAGGTGGCAGTTTGTTTCTATCTTCACTTTTCAATTTAATATTTGATATTCCTTATTTCTCCATGATGGTTAGAGATCATTCCTTGAACATTCATATTGGTTAAAATCCAAATCAGCTCACACGTTGAGGTGATTATGTTGGTCTGTACGCTATATGTAAACTTCAGTAAGCATGCTTCAAAAATTCTAATGACATTCTTGTTTGTGCTAGAAAAAACCTGGATAACTGAGGTTTCTTAAACTATTTGAAAGATCACCTTGAAACCATAGACTGTAGAGTTTCGGCACAGTTTTAAAAAACAAACAAAACATTACACGCTTGGAGTTACTGTGCATAATGCAGTATAAAATATTTCAGCTTAATTTTTAACTTCTTAATGACCATTACAACATAAAGATGCATGTTAGGTGAATCCATTCAGCATAAAATTGCTCCTCCCCTATCTACTTATTATCTAAAATATTCATCTAATGAAACCATTAAAGAAAAATTGAAATGACATCCTTTTATCTAAATAGTAAGCATTGCTAAAAGTTATGTGATGCATCAACATAACACCAGTACATACACATACTATTGCTGATTCACCAGCACAAAACCACATAAACGGATTAATCGAGTTAATTCTATCAATTCATTCAATTTCACTTAAGGTTTGATAGAAAAATATATGTAAAGAGCGATGTCGCCATCTCAACAAAAAGATGCTTGGCTCTACTGCATTTAAAGATGCCCACTTTATGGAAGAGCTTGATACTCAAATCTGGATGTTCTATTAATATGAAAAGTTCTCCAATTCGGCTAGATATTAAACCCCGACCTCATACATTCTCTGAGAGAGAGCGGACACAACCCATTTACATGACACGAGGTCAAACACGAAACATAAGGAGAAGCTCAAATTTGACACACGTGATAATCTTAACCCCAATATTGACACGAGTTAAAAAGTTATCATCGCGGGTCAATCATTTGGCTTGTTAAAAAAATTTATGAAGTGATGCTAACGTGACTCAACACGATCTAGGAACATAATCACAGGCCGGCTTGAATTACCAACGCTAACATACAGAATGCCACCATATACATAAGTATGTGTGTATGTGTACTTGTTCTTGTGATCTGTTCGTAATCAGTTTGCAAACCTAAAATTTACCATGACAGAACTTAGACGACCTACAGTTATTACAGCCATTCATATGTTCTTCAAAACACATGTTCTCAAAATTGCACAACAGATAGAGATAAAGGAGAAGCGCTTGAAGTATCATCACTTCGTTTTCCAATTTGTCCGTGGCTTATTGGCAAAGAGCTAGGATCCTAAGACAGCCTAACATATTCTTTATGTGCACATAAGCCCTAATATGACCCAAAAGAAAAAAAACCTAACAGTATGGCTGGCCATCAACCAAAACGGAGAAATGACTCAATCGGGTCAATAGGTATAAAGAGCTCATGTCTTTGCGTCATTCCAAGAAATTCTCCAAATTGAACGCCGGAGCGGGCAGAATTCGCTTACCAGGAGACGCCGGCTTCGTGAACCCGCCTCGAATTAGTCTCGAACCGGGATCGCAGAGCACAGAATCTATCAAACCCCCGTCGTCGCCGCCCTCCAAGGAAGAATCTTGATCTCCTTTGTCCAGAGATTCGACCTCATCCCGGTTGAAAGGAGGGGGCTTCGGATCGAGGGCTTCCGGGCATCTGTCGAAACCATCGAACCCTACGACGTCCTCCATCACAAGAACGACGAGAGCCCGCGAGTGTGCAGGGGATTCGGGAGATTTCTTGATGTGGGAAGAAGGAGAAAAACTGGTTTTCGCGGAGGTCAGCGCGGAGGTGCGTCCTCAGAAAGATAACCGGAAAAAGGGAGTGAAAGATTTTGGAGGTGGTCTTCGCCTTACGGCATCTTGGCTTTTCTTGGGCTCTGTTCGAATTTTGAATCTCATTCGACCGTTGCCACAGCATTATGAAGTTACCGTTAATGCCGTGGGAAAGGTTTTAGGGTTTTCTTCGTGTGCTGTCTGCCTTATCTTTTTTTTATTTTTCCATTTTTTTCGGTTTTCCTTTTATTTGCTTTTACTTTGCTAATATATATATATATATATATATATATATATATATATATATATATATATATATATATTAGCAAAGTAAAATATATAACTTGCAACTCGTACACGTTTCAGTTCCATAAATTGTACTTCATGTCACAGTAACGTCAATTTGTGTTTTAGAGGTGTAATGAAAATTCGGTGGCCAAAGGAAAAAAGAGTAATGAAAATTTACATAACTCACATTATCTAAAGTATCATTATGCATGATTGTAAATGTTTATTAATAATAGGCATGGCCAATTCATGAAATCATTTTATGTAAAAATTCGAAATTGAAGTTGGTAGTGAGTTTGCGTAATTAATAGTAGCGAGACATTTTTAATATTATCGAAATGCAAAAACATTTGTGCATTAAAGGCTCCGTTTGTTTCGTAAAAAATGAACGATTTAGAAAATATTTTCCTAAAAATAATCGCTCGAAACATTTATGCACTTTTAAGTGGTTGGTGTCAACGAGCGTTGGTTTGGGAACGAGGAACCCGACGGGGAGAGAGCGGTCGGCTCCATTGACCAATGAAGAATCGAGAATTCTAAATTGAGTGGCAAGTAAAAAATTATGCCTGATTTTCATTCTCATAACGTAATAATGGAAAAGTGCTAGGACCTAAGGGGGCAATAGGCACTAGTAAGGGTCCAAACGGGCCAATTCGAAAAGACCGGGCTAGAGAAAAAAAAAAAAAAGGGTCGGATTGAAATTACCCGTTCGGTCCAAGCCGGTTCAGTCTTTAGCCTGATATCTTTTGTTTTAATTTCTTTCCAAAAATATCATTTAAAAAATCTTAACATATAATTGTCAAATAACCAACACAAATTTACTTAAAATTTGTAGAATTGTTTACGGTTTGAAATTAAACCGAGCTCGACCTCTAACTACTCGAATATCTAGTCGAGTGAAGATTGCGCTCGCCAATACTCAACTCGACAGCTCGCAGATCTAATCGAGCTTCTATTATTCTGTTCCAAAGTATTTTCATAATTACACAAAGAGACACATAAGTTGATAAAATTACATATCGCATATAAATACAAGGAAAATGTTTGAGCTTATTAAACTCGAGCTTGAGTTAATATATAACTCTTATTATAATCGAGTCGAGCTCGAGTATTTGAATTCCGACTTAGCTTGATTACACCCCTCAATCAACTCTCCCTGGTAGTGTTCGGGTCTATTAGAATTTTACCTTGTTTTCATTTGATTTAATTCTTTTCTTAAATTTTTTTCATATTACAAGCACAAAGACTAAAAAAAAAACTCTCTATTAAAACAACCATCTCAATAAAAGGAAATGGTGAGAAAAAAAGAAAGGAAGGAAATGCTCAATTGAGGTTATAATATATAATAGCTTTATAGGTATCGATTTGACCTAGCCATGGGCCTGGCGACTTTCGTGGCCCACCTAAGCCCCAATAGACGGGCTGGAAAATAGAGAAAGTCTGGCCCAACCTGAGTTGACTCTCAACAAAGAACAAATCTAGGCCCAATCACTTTTATGCAACTTTTGGGGATTAGCCTGGGTAACAAAATTAAGGATGAAGATCCTCTTCCCCCACAAAAGTTCTTCTTTTCATGTCTCGATCAATTTCGACCGTTGATGAACGTAAGTGAGATATGCATCCGCGGTTGAAGTTTGTCGAGACACCAACGAGTTCACCTCGTGGAGTAAAGGATTCGAAGCTAGACTCGATATCAGGTTTAGCTTGCCTATCGAAGCACGGCGTATATTCATCTAGGGTATATGTATTGAGATAATGTTTCAACTTAGGACCACGTGAAAAGTTTATATTGATTAGGAGTCCGTTTATTTCACGACATATAAATGATTTGGAAGACATTTCCCCAAAAAATGATCGCTTATATTACTTGAAATAATTAGTCAATGAAAATTATTTTCGCTATCAACAATAATTTATATTCAAATTCATTCATTAATTTTTGTAAACGATATGAGCGATCATTTTTAAGAAAACATTTTCCAGATCATTCATTTTCGGCGAAACAAACGCGCCCAAATAAGTTATCACTTGACATGGAGATATTGGCAACTGTAAAAAGACCTACCAAGCAAGAGTTAGTATAGAAATGGGTTTTATCAATCCAGTTAACTTCTTCCTTGATGTTAGATAAACCCAATTGATGCATCGACTTGCATTTCCTGATAAACCTAAACTTGTCTAATCTTAGTTCTAGTGGATTTAGGGCATGAATGACAACCATTCTGTTTTATATATCGATTTCTGACCAGAATCTATTTCTATTCCATGGATGAGTTTCTAAGCAAAAATACGTGTTTGATAACGATACAAAATTTCTGTTCTCGAAACAAAAATTTATTTGATAACGGCATAAAATTTCTCTCTCGGGCGACCGGCGGTAGGGGTGTGCAAACGGAACCGCTCGAATAGGGAACCGCCCGGACCGGACGGACACTATTTGGGCGGTTCTAAGGAGTGCCGGTCCGGTTCCTGATTCCTAAAAGTGGAACCGGTGTCCGGGCGGTCCGGTTCCCGGTTCCAAGAGGGAACCGGACCGGACCAAATCAATCGGACCGGACCGACATATTTTTTCTTCAAAAAAATTAATAAAATGTAAACTAAATCCTAAGTGAACTTTATTGACATAAATTCTTTTATAAAAATTAGTAAAATGTGAACTAAACTCTAAGTAAACTTCATTGATATAAATTCATTGATAAAAATTAGTAAAATGTGAACTAAACCCTAAGTATTTGACCAAAAAAAAACTAAATCCTAAGTGACCGGTTCTATTGGACCGGACTGGAACCGGACCGGACCGAAGGTCCGGTCCGGTTCCCGGTCCTAGGACCAAACGGTCCGGTCCACGGTTCCCAAAATTGGGAACCGTTTCTCCCGGTCCGGTTCATGGTTCCACTCGGAACCGGACCGGACCGGGAACCGATCACCCCTAACCGGCGGGTGGGTGGCGGACGACGGAAGGCGGCGGCGGATGGCGGCACGGCCAATGCGGAGGACGGAGGCAAGAGGCGGCCGACGTCGGGCAAAGGCGGGAGGCAAGCGACGACCGGCGGCAGGAGGCAGGTGGCGGCGAGAGGAGGGCGGCGGTGAGAGGCGGTGGCGGGAAGCGAGCGGGCGGCGGCCGCCAGCGGGAGGCGGTGGGGACGACGGCCGGTTGATGGCAGGAGGCGGCGAACGACAGGTGGGCGGTGGCCCATGGCGGCCGGCGGATGGTAGGTGGGCGGTGGCAGGCGGAGGCTGGGCAAACGGTTAGTAGTGAGGCCGAGCGATGAGAAGAATTTTTATTTCTTATTTCTGTTTCAGAAATAGAAAAGTAGAAAATTTTCACTTCTCATTTCTGTTCCAAACTTATTTCTGAAATCAAAATTTATTCTAGAAATAGAAAAATGAAATTGCGTTACTAAACGGATTTCTGTTCCAAATCTGTTCTCAGGAACAAGAAAAATAGAAAAACAGATAAACAGAATAGTTATCATTCGCAGGCCTAGTGATCATATTCCTGTTCAAATGGATAGACTCACCTTTTGCTCTTCTTATAAATTAGACCTACTGCTCATGCTCATCATCTATGACATTGAATTTATAAGGGGGAAAAAGGGGGAAAATAAAACCGAAAACCTCTGCATATAACCCCATTATTTTGGTTAGAAAAACGTGCACGAAATCATAAGTTGAATTCGAGGGCCTTGACACACGCAATTAGTGAAACTAAATATGGAACACGCGCAGCATGCAGGGGGTAGGACCATCGTAGCAGGAGGGTCTTCGACTCTTTGGGCCCAGATAACAATAATTTAGAGCACTGTCGTGGAGGGTCCATCCAATTGATGGTCTCAAATTCAACGTGGGAACATGACATTATGCCACTGCTAGTAGAGATTGAGATCTCTAACATTGGAAGGGTAAGATCATTCTTAGTTTCTTTTTATCTCTATTTAAATGATTGATGTATTATTTTGAGAACCGAGAGCCTCGTACCGAGCAATATCGCGAAAAATATCCCGAGTTATATAGGTTCTCAATTTTCAAAATAAAAGATTCACAACACATGCGAAAATCGACTCATAATCTTGATTTTTCTATTTTCTCTTCCCCCCTCTCTCCGGCCCCCGCCCATCTTCATCATTGCGCATCCTGCCACTATAGCTCGTAACCACCGTCTCTAGCGGGCTCAATATCAACCACCTCCCAAACAACTCCTGTTGAGTTTGCTCGTGTCGCACCTGTGTGTGTGTGTGCGCGGGCGCGTCACGACTAGAGGTGCGTAGGCGATGGTGGTAATGCACATGAGTTGCGATTGTTGAAAAGAAGAAGAAGGGAAAACAGAAGGAAATTGGGTAGAAAGGAATATAACAAATTTTGGATAGGAAATACGCCGATGCATCCTCATTTGGACAGGGTAATTTTTACAGGTATAACTTCACCTCATAAATTTGGAAGATTTTAACACCTATCATTAGATTAACTTTTTCTTGTTCCTTTCTTTTCCTGGGGGCGTAATACATGAATTTAATACAAGGAAAAACAATTAGGTCAATACCAAGACATCATGTAATATCTCCATCGAAGAAGTAGCAATTAAAAAGAAAGAAAAGACACTCACAATGATAGAGCCTTGTGCTAATTTAACAATCACGTTGTATCATGAATAAATACCTAATAATCATCGATCCCTCTTAGAATATGGAGGCCTGGCTGGACAAACCTTTGACCAAAATAATTTAGTTTATATGGACACATTCGAAGCGCATCGAATCGAGCATATCGCAACATAAGGAATAGCGGATACTCCATCCC